AGACAGACAGACAGACAGACAGACAGACAGACAGACAGACAGACAGACAGACAGAGATGTCCAAAATTTGCCAGCGCCTGATTCCACCGCGTCATGACACATATCTATGAGGCCCCGCGAACACAAGGAATTAATTCAGTTTCCACTCACAGCACGGCTGTGAACTGTGAGTGAGTAGTATGCAGATGAGGCACTTGTCGTTCGTGGGTCGTGTTTCGCCCACTGCAAGTGACGACATATCTCGAAAATGAGCAAGGTGCGAAGAAAATTTTTCAAGTTTTCATGTGTGTGCCGGGTGGTGGGGGTGGGGATGATTGGGAGGCGGGGGGCTAAGGGTATGATTATGCCAAAAACTCACAGTTTTACCATAGATCTAGTTGCATGACTCCAAAAGTAGAACACAGTAAGCTATCTATCTATCTATCTATCTCTCGCTCTCTCTTTCTCTTTCTTTCTCTCTCTCTTTCTCTCTCTCTCTCTCTCTCTCTCTCTCTCTCTTTCGTTCTATCTGTCGTTCTCTCTTCTCTCTCACTCTCTCTCTCTCTCTATCTCTCTCTCTCTCTGATCTCTCTCTCTCTTTCTCCCTCCCCCTCCCCCAACCCTGTCTCTCTCTCTCTCTAAGGACATAACGGACACATAATAGCCAGCCAGCAACAGACCAAAGGCAACTCTGTCGCGCGTGCTGTGACGCAATACCTCAGGATTACAAATTTCTATCTGCACAGTACCTAGTTTTGAGAAATTTGACGTCAAAGATTTTGGATTTCACATCACGTCAAGCTCTTTCGAATTCAATTCTTTGAATTTCTAGATTATGACTCTGAAATATCTTACGATTTTGGTAAAGCAGATAGAACATTAATTGGTCTCTGACCTCATGGTCTTAGTAACTTAAAGCGGCCAAAAATAGATGGTAGAACTTTGTAATTCTGAGTGAGGTAGCGAATAGGAACAGGTGGAAGTCAAAGAAATAGTATGTTCAATTTTAAAAAAAGTGGGTGAGTTCACACTTTTAAAAATGTGTGTAAAGATTTTTTGATTAAAAAAAAAAAAATTTGGGGTTGCTCTTCTCGTCCATGACAGTTCCGATAAATGTCTAGCGGGATCTGCAGTAATTGGAGTAGAGTCTAGCGAGATAATCAAACGATGAGATGTGAAACGAAAGATTTGGAACAAAAGGGATATGAAACAAAATAATATGAAACCAAAGATGTGGAACAAGAGATATGGAACAAACAATATGAAATTAAATATGAAACGCAAGATATGAAACTAAAGATATGGAACGAACGACATGATTTAATAAAAGATTATTTCAAAAAGATGTGAAACCAAAGAAGTGAAATCAAAGAAGTTAAACAAAAGGTATGGAACCAAAGATATGAAACAAAAGATAGCAAAAAATACGAAAGATGTGTCACAATAGATGTGAAACTTAATAAATGAAGCCAGACTATATGTATGCATGTGTATGCATGTATGTGTGTTGGGGAGTGGTGTGTGGGTGGGTGTGTGTGTGTGTGTGTGTGTGTGTGTGTGTGTGTGTGTGTGTGTGTGTG